AGAGAGGGAGGGAGGAAAGAAGGAAAGTGAGGGAGAGAAGGAAGGAAAGGAAGATGGAGGAGGGAAGGAGGGAGGGAAGAAGGAAAGAGAAGGAAGGAAGGAAAGATGGAGGAGGGAAGGAGGAAGGAAAGAAGGAAAGAGAAGGAAGGAAGGAAAAAAGGAAAGGAAGGAAGGAAGATGGGGGGAGGGAAGAAAGGGCAAATTAACAGCATAAACAGAAAGAAAAAAAGTGCAACCTAATAACTATTGAGAACAATATGAAATTAATTCAATCCTTAAACTTGTATTTAAATCCGGACTAGATGGGCATACCGCTTCATCACCTCTCAGTGTATGAAGGTGCAAACTCTGCTTCTGAATTTCACTGGAAATTTCACGGTAGCCCCCAAATTATGTCTGCGACGGAGTTCTTCTGGCAGGATTTTATGGGAAGGAGGCAGCGCATGAAAAAGTTTGCGGGCTGAAACAAAATCCTCTGAAAGCTGCCTTGAGCAGCGGAACATCAAATTAACCAACATCCTTCAGAGTTCTTGATTTTTGGCTGATGCTCTCAGCCTTGTAGAAAAACAGCTTTTGAGATTGTGGAGTCCTGTCCTTGGACCAGGCTGCAATCTTAACCTCGCCCCAGCCTTCAACGGGTGGGACATCCGGAGATAAGGCTGGTTTATTTGTTTAGAGACCAAGGAGAGGGATTTCTTGGGATGAGCTATGGTCATTAGCCACGGTCATTCCTACCTTCAGAAAGGGAGAGCCCAGCTTAGTTGAAAACTACAGACCAATCTCATTATGTTGTGTCGCCTGCAATGTCATGGAATCAGTCATCAACCAATCCATTACCCTCCACTTTAGAGACAAACAACCTACTCTCTAACAAACTGTTTGGTTTCAGAAAAAAGAAAAGTGTCCCGTAATCTACAACTCCTACACTGTAAAAACATTTCGACTACGCAACTCCACCAGGGTACGTCCTACCTGTCAATGACTACTTCAACCACAGTAACACACAGGCAAGCAATAGATACAAACTCAAAGTAAACCGTTCCAAACTCGATTGCAGGAAATACAACTTCAGCCACAGAGGGGGTCAATGCCTGGAATTCACAACCTGACTCTGTTGTTACATCCTCAAACCCCAAAAACTTTAACGTTAGACTGTCTACGGTTGACTTCACCCCATGCCTAAGAAGTCTCTAAGGGGGTGTGCATAAGCACACCAGTGTGCCTACTGTCCCTGTCCTACAGTTCTCATTTATTTGTACTCAGTTATTATGTATATACTTATACCCATTTATACTTACATGTTTATATGTTACGTTCATACTTATACTTGCTTTCTCATACATGCTTGACAAACTCAATAAATAAATAAAATAAATAAAGATGTCTCCATCCTTTCCTGTTCTTTAGGCCACGGGGTTAGTTGCTGGAGATGGTGGTCTTTCAGTGTCACCCTGGTCAAGTTGAACCAAGGTTTAAATATCCCAGCAACCTTCCTGGTTTTTTTTTTCCAGAGAAATTGACGCACATACAGAATGTTGTTGTTGTTGACGTTGGCACAGCCTTGCTCCTGTGACCTACGGCTGTCAGAGGGACATATGTCCTAGATCTACCTTCTTTTTTTCTCTCTCTCTTTTTTGTTTTTTTGGACCCATGACCACGTGGCTCTGCTGAGGAGAGGACGAGCAGACAAGGACACGACAATTGGGGAAGGTTAAGCAGCTCGATGAGCGCCTCAACAAGTAGCTTCGGAAAAGGCCGAAATCAGTGGTGGGATTCAAATTTTTTTACTACTGGTTCTGTGGGCGTGGCTTGGTGGGCATGGCAGGGGAAGGGTACTGCAAAATCCCCATTCCCTCCCCCCACCCCACTAACCTGCTTTCCAGCTCCGTTCTCCTGGGCAGGGCAACCAAAAAAGACCCAGCCGATCAGTTGGGACTCAGTGGGAGGCAGAGAAGAGATGGGGTTGGCGGGGCCAGTCAGAGGGGGGGTATTTGCACATTCTCTGAATTATTCAAAATTTCCACTACCGGTTCTCCAGAACTGGTCAGAACCTGCTGAATACCACCTCTGGCTGAAATATAGAAGCCATTGATGTCAAGTGACACAAAATTCCTTTTGCCTTCCAAAGAAAGTTAGAGTTTTCTGTGCAAATGGCTATCAAAGTGTGCCGGATGGGGAGAATTCTTTGAAGGCCTTCGTTCTTTCATGTCCTTCTTTTCAGTCTGAGTAAAGAACTCCCAGTAGCGTCTTATGTCTCAGGAGTGTATGCTTACCCATGTTTTCTGGCTGTGTTGTTGTTGTTGTTGTTGTTGTTGTTGTTATTATTATTATTATTATTATTATTATTAT